CAAAGAATCTATTATCGGTAAATTGCAGAAAACGATAAGAATCAAGTTTATCTAAAGTTGAAAATTTTAACACGATTAAACAAGATGATGGAAAAAAGAACATAAAGATTGAAAAATCTATTAACAAAATGAAAAAAAGACAAAGATTGAAAAAGCCATTAAAGATGATGAAAAAAAGACAAAGATCGAAAAGCTATTAAACAAGAAGACAAAAAAGATAGATGTTAAAGTTGAAGGTAATTGATAATTTAAGAATTTGATGACTGATGCTAAAATGGTCAGTTCAGCTCAGCTCATAGTTTATGCTGGTAAATCAATAATTGGATCTATAAGCCAGGTCAAGCTGTTTATAGGCATAAACGAAGATAAATTGAGATTCTTGTTTTAATATATACTGCAGTTAATAGTCAACTCTCTAAATGCAACCTCTCTAAATAGTTTAGTCCTTTATCAGGACATAAAATAAATGCAAGCTTTTTATTTATAAATGCAAGATTTTTTTAGCCAATATTTATAAATTTATTCTCTAAATACAAAATATTTTATTAACCAATTAAATTGATTTAATTATTTTTTTAACTTATCGTTATTAACTTGCATTTAGAGAAAATTAAGTATATATTTAGGTTTTCTTAAATTATAAATTCTTTCCAAATGCAAGATATTTCCCTGGCCTATCAACTTGCATTTAGAGAGAGTCAACTGTATATATGAAACCTAAAATGAACCTCAAAACCTAAGTTTTAAACTGGAACCTGGTTTTTTAATAACCGACCTAAGAATTCTACCATCCTTAATATTAGACCCTGAGAAAACCAAAACGGGATTAATTTATAAATAATGTATAATGTATGCTTGTTGGCAAAACTCATGAAGTTGGGATTCGAGTTTGGGTGGGAAAGATTTGTGGTTTTGCAAGCAAATATACATACTACCTAGATTGCAATAATATGAATAATATAATATATATACAATATAAGCTAACACCGATTTCTATATTAAAGTTATGGGATATTAATAATAACCTGGTATTATGGCAAAGCTTGAATTAATAAAAAATTGATTATTGCCATTTATAAAATTCATAATATTTTCCATATACCAAATTATCAAAAATATATGTATACCCTATTATAAAATATTTTCCAAGATGGTAATTAAGACTAGTAACAGTAATTAAATTGCAACCTTCTAATAATTTTTCTAATAAAAAAATTTACTAAATGATGCTAAGTATTACTTAACGTTCAGAATTAAGAGATTCAATAAAATTGTCTAAATTAAGATCTTCATATTGTTTGTCATCCCATAAATTTTCTAATCCCTCAACCAAGTTCTTTGGTGTAATTTTCTTTCCCTTTCCAAAACCAGATCCATCGCTTGTGAATGATGCACTTTTACTTTGAACGCCTTTACTAATATCTGTGGTTACGTTAAACAAATCAAGAATTTGTTCAGTGTCCATACTTTGCAATCCGGAATTTTGTTGATTAACAATGGAATTAGCAATATTAAGCTTAAATTTTTGCAATCTAAAAAAAAAAAAAAAAATTAGGTACACCCCATTAATTATATATGCAGCATGTATTGATATGAACAGGTCTTGACGTACCCCATAATCTTCTCTTCTAGTGTGCCTTTTGTAATTAATCGATAGACATTGACCGTCTTCTTTTGTCCAATACGATGCGCACGATCCATTGCCTGCAAATCTTTCATCGGATTCCAATCGTGTTAAAATTTTCAACTTTAGATAAACTTGATTCTTATCGTTTTCTGCAATTTACCGATAATAGATTCTTTG